TATATTTTAATAATTAGCATAAAACTCTTTCCTGATTCGTATCGCAATAAAAAAACCCAGCTTCAAATATCTTTCAACGAAATTTTAGGTGTAAAGCAACGAATTATTTGGAAATTTTCCGAGCACCTGGCACGAACGATCTTCTACAATTGTCCTCTGTTCCATGGAGAAATCATTCTCTTCGCACCATTCGAGCAAATTGGTAAAGTTTCACGGTTTTAACTTACCGTACCGAGATCGCCAGGATACAATTTGGTATCCTCTGTTCCGTTTCCACCTTTCCTTTCATCCTGCCCACCCAATTTGGAAACTATTTCTTCGAAAGACAACCGAACTAGCTAAGCAGATCCTTCGCGGATTCCAGAACACGGAAAATGGACGAATTAACATTAAAAAAAACCATTGATTTATTTTTAAATAATCCTTTTTTATTTTTTAATCTCTGTTCGCTTCTCTTCCTTCACGAATATCCGACGAGTATTCGTCTCTCTTTGCGAAGACGCGAACGATCGGATAACGCGTGGGCCGGAAACTGGTTACACGATGGCTGCTAGTACGCGAAGAATAGAGATTTCCCTGATTAGAGGGGCTGATCGAGCTTCCTCGGGAATGAGGGTTAATGAATACGTTTGTAATCGTAACTGGTAGGAAACGAGCAGTTTGCGCGACGTGAATGCTCAGCAGGATGGTCGCACGAGCAATCCAAGAAATTTCGACGAGAAATCTTGAGTTATAAAAAAATTATTCAACGTAGATGTGATACGTGGGAACGATAAAGTACAAGTGATGAGAAAAAGTATATTTGTAAATTCAAACAGGAATTTATAATATATATAATTCATATTTTTCAAAAAGTATTATTAGCTTGTATTTTTTCATGAGATTAAGTATATGCTATTTTAGAAATACTTGACCCCATTTTTTTTTATTATTTGTTTATCCGTGTTATGAGATTAATTGAGTAAAGTCGAATAGAAAAATTTTGGGATTTAATAAATTTTTCGTGAAATATTTGGACAAAGATATGAGATTTGATTTAGATTAATGCAATTGATGATATATAGATAGTTTCCGAAAAAATGTCCCTGTTTACTTTTTTTTAAAAGAAGTTAAATGTTCCGTAAATGTTTAATCTCGTTCGTTTTTTTTTTAGTGTTGGCTTATTTGTGCAACGTATTTATTAAGAGATGAGAGAAATTTAGTCAGCTGATGTAATTGAGGTCTTTCTTATAAAAGGTGTGGCGGGCTTAAAACAACAATGAATCCGAAACACAATTAACTTTTTCCTACCCGGTTCTCTTTCCAGTTAGCGAAAACAAATTTTCTTGATATTCGAAATCGACGAAATTTTTCTACTTTCAACTTATCAGAATTTTACCACCATGTAGATATTAATGAATCGAATAAATTAACTCTCAATTTATAATTTAACTAAACTCGATTGATAAAAGATTTTCCGATAGAAAAATGCCGGTAAAAAGCGTAAGCATCTTTTTTCCTTCTTACGTTCAAATGTCCGCCATACTGCGAATAGCTACCCTCATTCTTTTTACTTAGCGTCGCGAGCTCTCATTTCGCGAGCGAAATTAACAAATTTATAAACGCTCCCAAACAAAATCTCTAAACGAAGAATCCTCCGTTTTACGATATCGTAAAACTTACAAACTTTCCCTCAATTAAATTCTCTCGTTCCCGAGAATCATAATGATCTCTTCCGGACATCGACTCAGTCTTGAAAAAAATTGCAACTACTTAAACGTTCGAAATCATTTCGTACATATATATTCCCCAAATATATTTTATTAATCGTTCCAAGACCACGACGATTGCATCATTTGACGATGGGACGGATTTCGCGGATATCGGATTCATAGATTTCGAAGGAAGTCGGGCTTCAGGCGTCCCTGATAAGTCTATCTTCGACGGATTTCTCCGATGGCCAGGTCCCAGGGGAGATGAGAAAATAAATAAATGACGAGCGATTCCCACGAGTCTCGAGAGTCGGCAAGAAGGAGCAGTTTCGGTGTAGATAGGGCGAGAATTATGGTTCCTCACGGGGGTTGTGATGAAGAGAGCAGGGGTACGCGGGGCAATTTTAAGCCCTCCTCTCGGTTTCTGGCCTTACAACTTCGTAATTTTTACCCTCGGAGAAGTTAAGAGTAATTTACTGGGCTCCGCGTAGGCGTTATTCGGCTCCCCCGCCCCTCCGTGTCCGCCCCACTTCTGCCCCCCCCCGTGAAATAGGTACACCCAAGATCCCAGGCCCTTGTTAATTGTCTGCCACGAACTTGATTTTCCCGCGAAACTGCGAACCGGCAGTCTTGAGATAAATGTTGGTTAATATTGTTACGAAAATAGGTAGTTAGTTCTTTTCGGACCCGTGGAGAGACATCCCCGGGGATCTTAATCCCTCCTAACTGAGTTGAATCGTTTTTTCTTTGTTTGGCGATAATAATGGGTAAAGAAGCTAGAAACGAGGCGGTGAGAACGAGTTCCTCTTGTTCGAACGATGATAAAGAGTGGCAGTAAAAGGCGAGAAGTAGGAAAAGACACGCTTTTTTAATATATCCTTTTTTAATATCGAAGAATTTATCGCGTTTCAAACGTTGGCTCAACAAGTGATTGATTATTTCCGATAAAAAAACTCACTTGTTGCAAATCGATCTGAGCGTTTTACATTTACAAATCGAGATTCCCTTTCTTCAAAATTGTTTTCGTTAAACCGAATAAAATATAGTCTTCTTAAAATACAATGTAAGAGGATGCAATGCAAGATAGTTAATGGTGTATAATAGCGAAAGAATTTATTTGTAATTTATTTGCAAAGAGAATTCATGGTAAACTTTAAAATCGATGTAAAATCGTGAAGTGTTTGCAAAAGCAGTTGGACACGAATTAAATACCTTTCTGTTCCCTGTTTTCTCCCGTTTACTTAGAACTTCCACCTCATTCAATTCCCTGTCAGCATACAGGCGCAACTCGCAGCGAGTAAAGGTACTTGCAAGATAGTCGATCACGAGCAATTCGAGATATTGCCGGATAGTGTGTACGTGTCCGAGAATGCTGCACAGATCTGTGTGTATCCCGGTGGAGGAAACGGAAGGGCCGGCATGCATCGAATCCCGGTAGCATTATTTAGCCGGGAAAAGTGTTGCCAGCGCCATTAATCCGATTGGACGAACCTTCACCCTTAGGCCTTAGGGATCCATTATGTATTAGGTGGATCGACTTGCAAGATTAAAGCTGGAAATGTGCCGCTTCAACACCGAAAATCCTCAACATAATTTTACCCGGCAGAGATTTTAATCCCTCGAGAAAATACGAAATCTCGACTTACACGTGTCGATTTTATAGATTTATATATATCGATATATGTATATTTCGAGACGATAATTTGTTGGGAATTTTTATTCATTTTCCATTTCGATAAGTGTTATATTTTTTGAACACTCGTTTTCGAGTTATTCATATAGTTTATTTATCGATGACATCGTATAGTTGTAGGATAGTGGAATATTTACAAGGATTGAAATATTAAAAAAAGCGAGACTGCGTTTAAAATTAAGTTTCTTCCTTTTTATAGATTATTTAATTCAAGTCTAGGAATGATATAACAGTTAGATTATTCTTCTCTTTTGAAGTTGCGCTTCTCCGGTTTCTATTTGCTCCTTAAAAAGTTGATATTTCGTGGATACGCGAGGGTGGGAAGCTGTTTCGTGGATATTTCACGAGGCAAATGCCATGACTTATTTTACGGGACGAAAGAAAGAAGCAGACGAATTTCCGAGGAGTCGACGTTCTTTCTTTTCTACTGCTTCCCTGTTGAAACCTTGTCGGTTAAAGCAAAGAAATACCACGCTTTCTTGCGCAACCACCTCTTTTCCAGGTTTTCTTTTCTATTAGCATGATTGCAACTTTATATCGAGTTTTCTCGTAACTCTACGATATTATTTCTTTCTTTCCTCATAAATTTCAATTAATTTTATTCGACAACAATTATTATTGACGATCATTTTAAATATATTTTCATACATATATATATATAGACAAATATAAAACATTAAAAATATATAATAATAATTTAAAAATTTTTTAATTTTCTCATTAAACGATATTGCGTATTCAACGAAAAATTTAAAAATTATTGAAATAACGAAAAATCGTACGATCCTCAAAATCGATCTCGTCGACAAGAACTAAGATGATGATCGAAAAGATAGACAGGAAGAAAACCGCTTGGTTTCTTTGCCAAAGTAATTTGTCTACTTTACGTTCCTTTTCCGTTTACTCATCACGAACTTTTGCCGAAAAACTGATTTTTTTACCAGTAGAAATATTAACAACTAGGAAAAAAACTCTTCTGTAACTTTTGTATTAGAAACTTTACTTAAATTAAACTTTATTTATTATTAAACTTTACTAAAATTACTAAAATATTCTTAAAAGTAAGAAATTTAGAGGAAGGGGATTTAATGACACAGATGGGAATAATCAGATCAACACATATATATTGTAAATATCATTTATTGGACTTTTAGGCGTCATGGGATACAACGATTACATCACGTTGCTTATTTATAACACCTAAGCAATTGGATAAAAAAGAAAACAAAAAAATGAACTACAGGGAGGTGATTTTCATATTTCGTTCGGACAAAAAATTCGAAAATGAAGAAATCGGGTCGAACATCGGATAATTTTTCGTTCTCGCTTCTATATAAAATGTAATAATGCCGACTTCCGTGCGGATTAGGCGTGAACGGATGAACGAAGCTAAACGCATCGCAGCCGGCATGCGTTGACAAAAATTAGGAACCACTGCGCTTACAAAAATTGTACGCAACAACATCATTTTTTTTTTCCTTCTTCCTTCCTTCTTCTTGTTTCTTTCGGAGGAACTGGAAACGATCGAAACGAGATTACTATTCAGACTTCTTATCTAGCAATCGTGGAGAGATGAAAAAACGAATAATCACGAAGAACAACGATGTTAGATCATGTTCATTTTTTTGCTCCTCAATTTTTTCCTTTCTTATTTTTTTTTTTTCCGTTCGCAATACAGGTCAAAAACAGTTTAAATTCACGAACGTTCGTTCGGGATAAAGAGAAATTTCGTATTTTTATTCATCGTTAATATATCCTCGTTGGAATAATTCTCGTCCGAATCAAAATCGTCATCATCGTCGTCGTTATTATCGTCACACATTTTTCACGGCCACTCTCAATTGAAAACTAACCATCGATCGGCACACGACATCCAGGGGGAAGGCGAACGAGAACTTATGGCTAAATAAAACTTTATAAAAATATATCAACGAATAATAAATATATCTCTAACAGCGTCACTGTATAATTCGTCATGCATAGCCCTCGGTGTATCGATAGCCTATGCATTTACAATCACTATATACACGCTATTTTTTTTTCTTTTTGTTTTTAATGCTACTTACCTAAAATAATATACAACAATGTACCGTTTTTCCCTTAATGTATCTAGTTTTGTTTTTTTACGGAATATTTTTTTTTGTTTCGTTTCTTGCGTTTTAATTTTATTTCGTTATTTTCGTTTTCTTAATCGTACACGTAACCTCTAGTTAATCCCATATTCCCTTTCCTTTCCTTTTGTTATAACGTCGAATTATTCTCTTTGGTTCGTGTTTATATTCTATAACAATTACGCGGGAACGAACAGTCTTCGTTTACCGCTCGACTCGTTCGGTTCGACATTCAGCCGTCGACGTTCTCTGCGAATCCGAATGTAAAAATTGGTCTCTTATTCAACGCGTGTACATATACTTTTTTTAAATTCTTACTTTTTCTCTCTTTTTTTTATTTTCGCATGCCGCATTCGATCTCCTTACAAATAAACTATTTATACAAATATTTACACGTGCCTCCGTTACGCGTAACATCCGTACAATATTTCTTCTTTCTTTTTTTTTCTTTTCTTTTTTTATCACGCTTAATCGAGAAAATCGTTGCGAGAAACGGTTTTTTTTACAATCAAAAATCTCGTAATGATTTACAAAGTTTTTATACGCGATAATCGGTATCATCGACACCTTCGGATAATTTCGACCGCGCTGTTTCTCTCGTTTAAGGAAAGAGAGAAAGGCATTAATTGTATCGTAGTTCGACGGGTTCGACTCGTGGATTTCGAAGTCTCGTTTTTCTTTTCCTTTTATCTCTTTTCAATAATAAAAAAGGAGACGAGAAAGGGGGAAAAAAGAATGGAAAATAAATCTACAATAAACAATCCTCGTTACGAATCGATTCCATCTATTCTACCAAGTCATTTATCTTCTAGAAAATCCTATGACAAGAATATCGAAACGAAAACTACGCAACGGAGAAGTGGAAAGAGAAAGAAAGAGAGAAAGGAAAAGAAAGAACGAGAGAATCTAGCAACGAGATTCATGATTAAGGAACGTCGAGGCCGGATTATCGTCGTCGCCGGAAGCTCTGCATCGTTCATCGACAACGACAGTGTCGATAAAAGGCTTTCTCTCGTTTAAGCGCGCTCACCCTTTTCGATACATAATAAACAGGGTTTTCTCGTTGCATCGTCATCGAGTTTCACCTCGCGTCAAGAACACGAAACATTCTTTCGAAACTATTCTTACCGAAACGATTATCTCTTTCTCCATTCGCGTCCTTTTTCTTTTTTCCTTTTTTTTCCTCCTCCCCTGCCCCTCCCCTCTTTTTCTGCAATTTATATATTTTATATTTACAATCGTCGCGGAAAATACTGACGGAACTCCGACTTCCTTCCCCCTTTATTTCTCATCCATTGAACAGGGAAGCTGACTTCTCAAATTCGATCCGCTTCCTTTGGCTGTTCACAAAGCAACATTTTCGACGTCGTCTCACCACGATCCCTCAGCGACGATGCTCCTGCAGGATGACCAGGGCCAAACACATCGATAGGTAAGTGAGACTCGCTGACCGGAAGTGAGCGTGACTGTACTCGGAGGCTCGCGTCACGTTCAACAAAACGGAAGCATCCGAGATCCCTTCCGACGAGCGTACCAACACCCACCATTCCCCGGCATGAGACCATTGAATCGTGTCGAAGCTCAGCACCGTTCTGTAACAGGACTCCGTGCCACCATCCTGAAAGGCAAACAACGAGGGACCGTTAATGAATTCAATACCAGTGGTTCAGGGAAGTTTGTCAAGTATTCGTGACCCGATTCGACGATCCAAAGAGTTCGCTAGGCGGCCGATTATAAGGGATAATTTATCTGGAAAGGAGTTCGAAGGGATTGTTACCGTTGGCGCAAGTTTTAGAGAGGAGAGTCGATTGGAGAATGGGTCAAGGATAGTTTGAATTTTCCACTTCTTTTCTTTTCTTTTTTTTTTTTTTTCTCTTCAGGAAAATCTAAGTTTGTTCTTTGGCGAGGAAAGGCGAGAAGGGAGTTCGAGAAGGAAAGAAATTTTTGTATAATTAACGTTTTATATGCGTATATTATATTTGAAGATTATTTTCAATATTCGATTAGGATTATATAGAATATATTTAATATTAAAAATAAACATTAATATATTTTTACATATGAAAAATATAAATGTGAATCGAAACGTGATTTTTAAATTCGCAAAAATTACGATTAAATTGAAACGAAATCAATTTCATCGAACACGGAAGATAAATTAAAATAGGAACAGATTTCTTTTGTAAAAGGATGCGATATTTAAACGACAGTTTCGTTCGATTCCCCGATCGTTTTTATCGAACTCATTAACTCGGGGACTCGATAACGTCGATTCACTATTCCTTATCTATCGCAATTCTGCTTAGCTTCTTACGATTAAACTTTTGCGTGGAACTTTCGCGGCAAACTGAAAACTTCCTACATCCCCCTCCGCGTTCTCTTGGTTCAATTGCACGTATCGCTTCCGATTTTCTCCTTCTTTTTCCTTCTTCTCTCAAAGTTACATTTCCTTCCTTCTCGAGGAACAATCTCTCTTTTTACAATCCCTCGGGTTTTTTATATTCCAATCGATAAAATCGGGTGCATTAAATCCAGCACGGTTGAAAATTATCGACACGAAATAATTGATAAAAACATAGGAAGGAATGAGATAATATCCGAGAATGTCAATTGCAGTGTGGTGGAAAAAAAAAGAAAGCGTGTTTCGTCGAGTTCAGGACAACGTGTTATTACGAGCTCCATTATTACGTATTACACGATGCAACTGACGCGCTTATTAAACGCCTTTTTTTGTATTATTCAGTCATGGTTAATTACTCTGATTATCTTTGCACGCGTTTAATTAACAGAGAAACAGGTCGCCGATCGGACAAAGTAGAAAGGAAAAATTTCTGTTGTTATTCAAAGGGTGGAATAATTTATGCACGGAAAAGACGATAGATTCTCGAATTAATTTTAAACTTGGAAAATAAAATTAAATCGGGGAGTTACGCGTTGAATCGGTCGAAAAAAAGGTATAATTACATCCGATGTTCCTTTTATCAGTTTCCGTCCCCTTCGTTTGGTAAATACGACCAAGAGGGAAATACGTTTACGTAATTGAATCCGATTCCACTCGTCCCGGTGATAACTTCTCCCGCAATTCGAGACAGACGTTATTCTTAGTCTCGCGAATTTTTCGCGTGCAACCAGTCGCAGTTTCTTGCTCCATTTAACTTCGTATTTCATCCTCGCCCCTTCTCGTCGGTTTCCACTACGAACCGACCTTCTCCTCGTCTTCTCCTTCCCTTGTCGCCTTCCTCGTTAACTTCCTCCCTCCGTCTTTTTCTTTCTCGACCAGCCCACGTGTACTTCCTTGTTCCGCGTGATTTACGTTCCCCTCTTTTGTCAAATTTGCATTCGCCCGGTGATAAATTAGATACCTCGAGGTGTTTCGCGTTGAATCTCGAGAGAATCTTGAGATTTCTAATTCTACACTCGTGCAAGTATACATTTGTACAAATTAAAAATATTTATTAATACAACTTGTTCGTAAAATTTCACTTCACTCAAGATTATCGTTCGACACTTTTATTTCTCCTATTAATTTTTCCTTGTGTAAATGCTTAATAATAATATTAATATTAATAATTTTATATGCTTAAATATAGAGAGCAATCCTTTTGTTCCACTCCATTCGTCGAAAACTTCTTTCCCTCTTGTCTTGTTTGACGAACAACAAACACAGGCCAGGAATGGTGTCGCATCACCATTGGTTCCTGCCTTATTGTTAGTCAACGTCTTCTAGAGTTTTCCTCTTTGTTCCTCCGATTGTCGAGTATGTGCAAACACATCGAGATGTCGTCCTCTCTGCATCGTGGCGTGTGCCCGTCGAGAGGCGTCGATCCATAAATTTCGGCGAAACTTTCGCCCCCCCTACCTCAACTTAAAGGGAAATTTCCATGGTATTCGTCGAAAGCATGACTGATAGTAGTTAGTACCAGTGATTTATTCCTATCTCTATCTATCCATCTATCTCTGTATTCTGTCCCGTGCTCTATATCCTTTGTTATCTGGGGCTGAAGTAGCGGGTAATTAATTCGTGGAATTGCAGCTCCTCGAACGAGGGTTGCGGAGGGATTGGACTGTAGGGGTGGAATAGGACGAAAATCCAGACCGGGTGCACGTGTTGCGGCGAACGTAGTTATTTTGACCCAGATTCTGTTTTGAATGCCTCGTACTACGTCGATACCGTCTACCAAATATTCCGCAAACTTCCGCCCAACCAAAAATTAATAAGCTTCCCCCGGAGCCGGACCGGGGACGCTATGTAATCGTGCTCGAAGAAACGAAGAAATTTCGTATCTCTTGGATCTCCATCTCTCTTGAATAAATCGTTAATGAAACACGTTGATGAAATTTTTGATGTATAAATTGATTTTCTCCGACAAATTGAATCATTTTATGGAATTGGCGCAACACGAGATGATTCTTGAGATCGGTTTATATAATGGTTCGATAAAATTACGAAAACGATAATAACTAATGAACACAGAACAGGTGTAGAGTTCATCGTTTCACAGATAATTCAAATATTATAAGAGGGAAACAAGTTTTCCAATTTTCAAATCATCATTTGTTTTCCAAGAGGCAAGCTGTGACTAATCTTTCTCGAAGGAAACGATATTCCCGTTGAATGGGACGATTGTTCGAGAGTAGACGAAGATTTTCGTCGTGCATGTTTCAAGCTCGGAAACGGAATAATGTAAAGGAACAAGCGAAACGGTAGGAAAGCTTAAACGCCTTAAAGGAAAATTACTTTCTCTTTCTCTTTCCTCCCCCGCCTCTCTATCTGTCTCTCTAATGAATGATCCATCGCGATGAAATCCGTAATTTCCCTGATAAAGGAAACAATGAAAAGGACCAGAGAAAATTTAAAGATCGACGACAAAAATTAACAAAGACAATCGTTTCTTCTTTCTTTATTTACTTATTTTTTTTTTCTCTCGTTTTATGAATTAAGAACATTCCCACCAGGAACAAAGGAGATTAAAAGTTAGCAGAAACAAGAGCGTAACACAGGTGCATTAGTCTCGAATCTCTTTAAAGCCATACCAGGATTCTTTCCTCTCTTCTCCCTATTTTTGTCTCCCTATTTTCTCTCTTCCTTTTTCCTTTCTCTTTATCTCTGTTCTCAGTTCCATGCGTTTCACCGTTATTCCTGATTCCCCAGAAAAACAGTAAATCCGTCTTTTGTGCGAGCATCCAGTATCTGGAATCAGTCTGTCGACCGCGAATAAAATAGAAAAATAAAAAAAAAAGAAAATAGGAAACGAGTAATACAAAGAGGAAGAGAACACATTGATGCAACTCGACGCTACGCGAAAATGAAATAAGGATAGGTATTTCATCCCATCTCTTCTCGTTCTCATATTTTTGCAATATGCAATGAACGTTCGTTGCGTATTCCTTCGTGCCATTTTCCTTCTTTCCGCTTCTGTCTTCTTTCTATCTATCCCATCGAGAAGAAATCACGTTTCGGCCGGTTCGCTCGCGATAAAAGTATAATTCTCGCCTGCCGAGTTGCAAATTCGTTTTTATTCCCCCGTCGTTACTTGGTGTTGTTGTTGTTGTTGTTGGAAAACAGAAATTGGCTGGTTACCGTGGCCCGACCGTCTTCAAAGTTAAATTGCACCGGATGTTCCTTCGTTGACCCGGTTCAAAACCGGCACTATCTTCGATATTACGAAAATTCTTGCGTTCTCGAATTGCGAATCGAGATCCTTCCTTTCGCGTAAAACGAGTCATTTCTGGTCGAGATGAATCTTTTCTTCTGGTTTTATCGTCTCGAACGTTCGTTTCGAACGAGGATGTGTAGATGTAGATGTTTGATTTGAAGAAGCTTCGTTTTTCGTTTGTTTTTTTCGTTTGTTTTTCAAATTTATTAACAAAGCTTATTGGGCTACTATGTTTAATATCGAATTAAAAGGATTTGCAAGCAAGAATTAAACAGATGGAAAGAAGGAGAAAGAGGTTAAATCGAAACGAAGTAAGAATTGAGGATGAATGTAAAAAAAAAAAAAAAAAAAAAAATAACATGTGTACAAAAGAAAAAATTTTTTGAATAGAAATTAAAAACTAGAGAAGGAATTTTTCAAAGGAATTTTTAAATAGAAATTGAACGTTATATGGCAAGAGTTATACGAGAGTTAAAAATACGCTTGTGAATAGAGAAAGCTTCGTGAACGGAAATTGGGAATTTATTAAAAAAATAACTTACACACGAAAACAATCAGAGCCCTTCCCAAAGAATTCAAAAATATATTCAATTTCCTGTTTCAATTTTCGCATAAAACAAAATTGAATAAATTGAAAATTGAACAAAAATATATACAAAAAACGAGAAATAAAGGAAGAGTAAAAAAGGAAAAAAGGAAAAAAGAAAAAAAGAAAAAAAGCATACCTCAATAGCAAGCGCTTGAACACCATCTCTAGCCTCTGCACCAGGCACGTAAACGTTTTCCTCGGATATCCAAAGTATCTTGGTGTGTCTCGGCTCGGCGCAAAATTCAACGACAATATTCAGCGATTCACCCTCCTTCGCTGTCACTGTTTGATTAGGTGGATGAATCATGGGTCGACCTGGAACAAAAATTCGCAAACAATTCTGTTAACCCTCCGGTCGTGGTACGCGGCGTATACGCGGTTCTTTTGTCGGTCATAAATCCACCCTTCGGTTCCGGTAGCATAACCCAACCCCTTCCCTCATCTCTCTCTCTCTCTCTTTCTCTCTATTATATCCTTATCTCACTATATCTTTCTACCTCCCTCTTTATCTAGAGAGTTTGCACAGAGCTTTGTGTCTTGTTAACTGCGAAAATATCTCAGCATGTAGCTAAACGACGTAATCTTTCGTAATTCCTGCTGAATTATGTTGCCATCCTGTTTCTATCTTAAGTGGAACTTCATTAAAGCGATCGAATGAAATGATGGCCATGTTGAAACGTCGCAATAACGAAACTATGCGAATATAACGCGTAATGTATTCGAGTAGTTTTCCTAATTTGGATTTATTCCGAAAGCTGATCGCGCCATTCTCCGTGACGTTAGCGAGAGAAATTGTCGGGGAATCGATATTTTGGGTTACTAGGTAATTATTAAAACGAGTGTTCAAACGGTCTGTATGAAATTCGGCCATGGTATCGCGTACTTCGAATTTCGCCGGTCAATTTATACCGTTTGGCAATCGTGTCACAATGGTTGTTGCGAACAATGAAAAGGTTGATACGTTTATAAACCGCGATAATTATCGTTATTGCAGTAATTTATCGTTGCAAACGCCCTCATCGCGAGTGCGATTTATATCGAGCATGTCCACGAATTTTTCCGCATGGAAAACAAACAATTGTCAAAACTTGATTGAACGACCACTTTCAATTTAATTTCAATATAATTTTAAAATATTCGCTCTTCCGTTTAACGACGATTCTCGATTTATGTTACACATTTATCGAGCGATATCATGAATGAAATAAACCACTCTCTTACGATCCCATTCGCTATTCTTTATCCTTTTGATGAGACCTCCCGATGCCCGTTGCACGTAAAATTCTAAACGACCATCGTGCTCCCCGTAACTTCATTTTTTTCCTATTATTATTTATGGTCGTTTTTTTCATATTTACGAGCCGGATCGCATCGAAACATCGGTTTTTTTTCGCGTCGATTCGCGGTAACGCTCGCGACGCTTTTGATTTACTCGTTTCCACGAGTCTCGCCAATCTCTAGTGTACAAATACACGCATTTGCAGCCATCGAAACCGGACTAGACCAGTGTGACAATATGACAGCAAGTTGCAACGACTCGTTACATCAACAGAGATAGGATAGAGAGAGGGATAAATAGATGAATAGAGAAGTGAGAACGGATGGATAGAATGGTTTCTCGATTTCAAAGCTTCAAGGCGATCGTGATTCTGGGACAGTTTCACCAGTTAAATCTCGTCAAAATATCCTCGTCGCTCGAGGCAACGACCTGAAACGTGTACCAACAAATATATTCAGATATCTCAGAATCGATTTGATCACGATTAAAAGATCGATAAATGATCCAACGTCGATCTGTAGCGTTTCATTATTAAAGACAAGAAAGATCGGAGAGATAAAGTTTTTCTACGATAAGATAGAGAAAATATTTTAAAAAATTATGATTTTATTTCGACAAGAAGGATGAGTGAAAATTGTCAGAGTGCTATTACAATTTCGAATCATTCTTATTGCAAGAGATTAATCAATTAATTATCTATCCTTGACACAATGGTTCTGATCGAATCGTCCAGGCTTTCAAAGTAATTTTTAACTGATCGCTATTATCACTTATATCATTTACATTCCGTGAAGATGTTATATTTACAATCTCCTTATTTAATCAATTTCATGGAAATAAAATCGCGTCAATATTTAAAACTTTCATCGCTTCACATTATTTAATTATTGCGAAAGAAAGCGACAACTCGAAAGAGGTTGAACAAGCATTGTCTTGGAAAAGGAAAAATCTTGCTCACGTAGGATTCGCACGTTTGCCAAAAGCGTTAACAAACTCTCTACGGTCCCCGATTCCACCAACCGAGACCAATAACCCCCTAAAAGAGCAAATCTTTCGGTTTAACCCGACTCGGTTTCCATTTCCATTCACGGTGTCTTATCGAAACGATCGACGAAGGACGAGACACCGGGGCCAGCTGGTACGCGATGTCGTAGCAGCAGTTTTGTTGCTGCACTTTGGCTAATTGAAGCGTGGATGCCGGCCGGTTACCCACGACGAATCCGTCCCTTTCCTCCTTTCAGCCACATTCTAACGCCACCGATCCCTTACCCCTTTCCCCCGACCACTCTCCTTTTACTCGTTCTCATCTGCATGGATTTCCTGCTTCGTAAAGCAAGCTTTCTGACCCTGGTTGGCCCATCTGCAACGGTGAATAGAAGCGGAACAGTACACTCGGCCGTGGCTGCTCATGAATATTCCTACGACTGAAATTACTGGAATACCTTGGCTGTGCCTCTTGTTTCTGCGGCGAGGGTGAAAGCGCACGGCCGTCTGTCTGTCTGTCCGTCTGTCCGTCTGTCTGTCTATCTATCCGTCTTCTTTCTCTTCCATCAAACCCCCCTGTCCCACCTGTACCCCTTTCAATATCTACGTCTATCCATGTTCGATACCGGTTGGTGGAAACGTCTGAGTCAGGATTGGACTTGGTTTTTTCACTTTTTCACTCCCCTCCTCTCTTTCTTTTCTGCTTTTTCTTCTTCTTTTTCTTCTTCTTCGTTTTTTTTTTTTCCTTTCAATCTCGATGAATCGATACGACGGAGGCGTACGACCTCCAATCTCGCAAAAGTTCATCTCGAGAAGTTCGTTAGGAGTTAAGGTTGATTTTATAGTTGAAGAAATGCTTTTCGAATAATTGATTTCGAAGTAACGTGGAGAAGTTGGTCTGGTTCTTTCGTTTTTTTTCTTTTCTTTCCCTCCCCTCCCCCCTCCCCCCACCTCTTTTTTCACGGCACTGTTTTAATTCCAAGTTGAACGTTGTTTGAATATGCGTGGGAACGAAAGTTTGGCGCGAATGCTTTGATTGCGGGCGCTGGGGCCACGCAATTGAAATGTATGCCGAGATTGTGCACCCACTTTGTTTGAAGCGAAGTTGAGGAAAATTTGAAACAAGTTAAAATAAACTTTTAGAAAATTTGAAATTGTCCATAGGCGCAAATAATATTTGATATCTTTTCATTTAATATACGAATCATAGACAAATCAAAAAAAAAAAAAAATTTTTCCAAAAAAAATTTATAATAAAATAAAAATATTTATTTCTATTCGTATAATTTCCTCAATTGTATTTTGGAATGAATGAATGAGAGAGAGAGAGAGAGAGAGAGAGCGAGAAGAGGAGAGAGAGAGAGAGCTTTTAACACGTAGAAAGGAAGAACGCATAGATGTACGTTACGTTAATATTATTATTCATATATTTACGTGTAAAGTTATAATTCCATCTCTCATCGTAATTGAACGAATAGTTTTAGAATTCTTGCACGTATAAAATTGAAGAAATATTTCATCACCTCTTATTTCAGAAATAGTTTAAATAAACGGTCTTTTTTTTTTTCCTTTTAAATCCCGTCACCTTTCCATCTTTTTTACATTTTTTTCCATTTCTGAATCCTTTCACAGTTCTGCACGTTCGTTAGCTAGCACTCGGCTCCATTTGTCCATTCGCGCGCACGTGTTCAATTATACAAATGAAATAACTGATAGTTCTGAACTTTAGGTTCTGGTTGACGGAACAAAGCTGGCTTAATTCCACCATTAATTCTAATTGAAATGATTAATGAAATCAACTATGGCGAAACGAAAATGCGGCATCCGAACGGGATAACTAATTCCAGAGAAACGATGTTCTGTCTGCGCGTACGAAAACAAAAATTATAAATCGATTAATTTTCCATCTGTCTATTCATTGATATTTTTCGTTTCGAATATATAACGCGAATATATAACGCACTCTTATTTTATCCCTTTTTTCCTTCTTCCTTTTTTTTATGTATCTTGAATTTTTGTCCATCGAACGAAACACCGAATGTCGAATCTGAATTTTAAAATTCGATTTGACGTACGATTTCATATGAAATTCGCGAAAATGTAAATGCGCCCGCAAAAGATTGTAAAATTTTCGAACGATTTCACGAACAATCTCTTCCAAATCTCGAACTTTTTCCTCCACCTATTTTCGATTCTAATCTTGAAAAAATCCGAGATACGTTATTCGTTCTACTTTCCACGTCTTTTCTACGTCCCTTCTCTCCCTTCTTCCCTGATGGAAATTCTTAGACGTTGGTCGCGAACGCGGGCAGCAGGACAAAAATAAAAAGAAGAAGCTGAAAAAGAAAGTGGCGGTCGTTTCGGTGAATCTTTTATATACATTTCGACTCCACTCGCACGTGACACACATGCGATCCTATGCATTATGGAGAACGTTATTAAGAATGTGAAGAAAGTCCAGATCTTCCGTGTTCTAATTATAATTTAAGCTTCCTCCGGCCATGAATAACTGAAGCTACTGAGGAATAAATTGAAAGAGAGGAGGAGAAGAAGGAGGAGGAGGAGGAGAAGGAGGAGGAGGAGGAGGGAGATACGGAAGCTCTTTATCTTAAGGGTCGTGAATTAAAAACGACATCGTGGACACTTTTCCGTGCGTTCCGCGAAATTTCTTCGTGAACGATATCGTTAAATATTTCAAAGATATCGCGCGAAATGATATTTCCAGGTTTATTCGAGGATCCGTTCTTGATGGAAAGTTAAATATCGTATCATCGACAGAATCGTCACGTTCTTCCGGAAGAAGAACACCGTTATCCTTTTTTTAATTATTCCAATCAATACTTTGAAACAGATTTGAAAAATCACGAGTGTATATCATTCGTATTATCCTTCTTCTAGAATCTTAGAATCATTTCTATAGAGATTTATATTTGAAGATTCAGAGTACTCCAAGATTCTCGTAAATTTTTCTAAAAAATTTTTCCTTCAAAAAATTAAATAAACGAAAGCTCGCATATCGCAACGTATCTTGAAAAATGAAAAAAAAAATACT